GCACAACCTGATACTTTTTTGAAATTCATGAGGAACACTAGCCAGTTGTGGTCCAAGACACCAGAAACCAACCTTTCATCTTGACTGTTTCATCTGCATTTCCACGTTTTCCTTCTTTCAAGTTCTTTTATCCTCTGAAAGGCTGATTAGATCCATATTTAGAAATACAGGAAAGGCTGTTATCTTGGGACTTGGGAGCCTGTATCAAATGTAAGCCTCGCTCCATGCTTTACATCAAAAACTGAAAAGCCAAACAATTAGTTGAACATTTTTCTTGTCATAGTTGAAGCCAGTAGTGACTCCCCATCTCCACCCTGTCACCCCTGGCCTGCAAAACTGAAGGCGTCTGCCCTAAAACGGGATGTTTGCTTCTCAGGCTGTCACTGAATTCCTGCCGCCTGTTTCCCACCTGAAATCACCAGACGACGCACTGGCAGCAAAGGAAAACAACGGGCCTCCTGCCGTTCCTCGCCCGGCCCCGCGCCTGGTGCGCTGGCCCGTCTCTCCATTTGTGAGCTTCGTGAGCAGCTCTGATGTCGCGATCAGTAACAGGCTGTCTGTCCTTTCTTCCCTGTTTTATCAAAACTGGTTTCACCGTCTTTCCAACAGAGATAAGCAGTCAAGGGCACCTCTCAGTCAGCATGATATTTGGACCACAGCTCTGTTTCCGATATTCATTTTCATTTTTAAGAAGATGAAGAGAAAGCTTAATAGATTTCATCCTGGGATATCATCGAACTTGAAAAGACCTCAGAGCACTCATGTTTTGGGTGAAGGGACCGAAACCGAGAGAAGTGAAGTGACGAGGTCACAGGGCTGGGAAGTGACAGTGATGGGGGAGGAGCCCGAACCCAAAGTCTCCAGCCTCCTTGCCCAGGGCCCTTCCCTTCACGTGAGGCCGGCCCCGCGGCCACCACAGCATTTGAGTCGCCTAATGATAAGTAGGGGCATGAATAAATGAATTCCCAAGTCAGTGTGGTCCTATCTTTATGGACATTTAGATGTTCACAAAGAAAGACTGTTTTCAGTTGAGGACTGAGGCCTCATCGCCATACAGAGGGTGTATTACCTAAGGCACTACTGACACTGAGGGTCAGGTCATTCTTCCTGCAGGGCGGAACAGGGCTGTCTCCCCACTAGGTGCCAACAGCATCTCCCCACCAAGTTGAGGCAACCAAAGTTCTCCAGACACTGCCAATGTCCTCCGGGGGCAAAACCGCCCCTTTGAGAACTGCCAAGTGGCCGTGTCTCCCATACATCCATCAGCCAGCAGGCGCCTTCAGTCACTGCCACAAGTCAGAAGCCGGAGCGCTGAGACGATCAAGGACCTTTCAACACATTAGATGTGGATCGTATTCCCTAATTTCTTCCCGGAAAGACAAAGCTGTGACCCTAATCGAGTCATAGAAACGATCAGAGCTTTTGAAAAAGAGAACAAAAAGGTAATGGTGGAGTGAGATGAAAAATAATAAAAGAAGTGGGGGGAAAAACAGTAAGAAAGAGAAGAAAAGGGAATGGAAAGAAGAAAGGTCAGCAGAGAGGAGGCATCTCAGCATTCCAAGAGTCCCAGGACAGAGCAACCCATTATTAGATAAAGTGGCACATTTTCATCAAGCATGATTTTTTTAAAAAGGCAATGTGGTCTGAGAAAAAGGGTCAAGAACTTTCTACCAATTCATTGTGAGGCTTTAGGAAAGGACCATTGTCCCCAGATGATGGTCCCCTCAGGGGAGTTGTACTGTGTGAAGCTCTTTGTTAAGGCCTCAGAGCTTAAAACTGTAAAGCCCTTTAAAACAGCTTCTCCTGGAGTCTCACCCACGTTTCTGTTCCCCAGTGTACAATGAGTCTGAATGACATTTTAGAATAGGCCTTTAAAAGAATGAGTGTGACTCTCACATCCAGGGTACAAATCAATTTTCCTTAACTGCTACTTCCCAGAAACCTGTTTAATCTCAAAACAGCCCCTGCAGAACAGGAAAGCTCCAAGTGTTTTTCATACTGTTACTCTCCTGGGAGCAGAACGTTCAGACGGCTAGCTGCGTGGTGGGTCTAGACGTGATGTGGTTCCAAAACACGTGGGTAACAACACGCTTCTTTCTGAATCTGGTCACGGGTCGAGGTTCCATTTGACAAGCGAGCCACTCAATTTTCATAGTATCTCTTCTTTTATACATGTTTAAAGACACTTATTATAAAAAGGTTCTTTTTAAAAAATTATTATTTCAGTACGTTTTCATGGATAAACAAAACAAACAACAGCAACCAAGCCCCTCTAATCCTATGATGCTCGAACTTTAAAATGCACGGGAACCACCTGAGGACCTGGTTTAAATGCAGATTCTAATCTAGGTCTGGGGCAGGGCCTGAGAGTCTGCATCCCTAACAAGTTCCCCGGGGATGCTGACGCAGCTGGTCCGCAGACCACACTTTGAGGAAGAAGGTTGTAAGTCCGACGTGGGACTAATCATTGACTCTAAGGAGCATCTGCCGTACATGCTAGTGAACAGGAAGTAGGTGTGGATGAGAGGTGGGGCGCACTTGGTCGTGAAGGATTTATGGGCTAGGCAGTGGCATTGGATTGGGCACAATAATAAAGAACTACAAATAATTAAAAAAAAAGAAGTTTGTAAGGCTAATCCATTTCCCCAAGTCACCTATCTGAATATACTGTTTCCTTCCTGCAAAAATGTTTGTAGGGCTGACTGCCCACTGCTTACCAGGAATGTCCAAATTCTCCTGCGAGAAATTAGACCCCTCCGTGGCAGCTTCAGCTCCGCTAACTGCCTTCCCCCAGCATAAACACAGAGCGGCAGCCAGCACCAGTTCTGCGCTGTTCCCCCAAATGTCACGTGCACTGCGTCTCCCTGCCTTGGTCCCACCCACTGTTTCCTCTTCCGACCACCCAACTCTTCATCCTCCTTCACAATCTGCTTCAAATGTCACCTCTTCCAAGAAGCCTCCCCAGACCCTTTAGGAATGAGGCATTGATTCCTTCCACTCACCACATCTCGCACTTGGCATTCAAATATCTACACTAGTGTGTTTGGTTTTCTGGAAGGTTATGATCTAACCAATAAAATTATAAAACTACCTGACACCTAACTCAGGAGTTAAAAAGATACTCAGTTTTCTCATGTTCACATCCCCGGCTCCTGGAAAAAGCAGTCCATCAGTCAATCCTCTGAAGAGTTAAAAATCCCACAGGGTGACCTCCCCCTACGCTTGACCCCAAAGGGAATGTTGACACAGTGGGTTCAAGCGCCCTGGCACATAACCCGTCTGCTCGGGAACCTCACTCCTACAGCGGCCTGTACCCCTGCCACGTGGACATTTGCTTCAGTGCCCCTCAGTCATTCTCATCAGCATAAACTATCTCCTATTTTTAAAAAACACACACACAACAAAAAGACCACCCCTTGCCCTCATCGTCCATCCTATTTCTCTGCTCCCCTTTACAACAAAGCTCCTCCGAAGAGCTGTTAAACGTGCCACCCCCCCGCCCTCCCCTTCACCCTCCCTCGAGCCACACTTCCACCCACTAAAACTGCACCTGTCAAGGCGGCCAAAGATCGAAGTGATGCAAAGGCAGCTGTCACTTCCCGGACTCCTCACTTGAAGTCTGGGCAGCTTCAGACACCGCCTGTCACTCCCTCTCCAAAACCCCTTCTTCGATGCTCTTCTGGATCACAGCTTCTTTCTTCTCCGCTCCCCTGCCTGCTCTGCTCCAGTCTCCTCTGCTCGACCCTCCACTTTCCTAACTGTCAACATTGGAGGGAACCAAGGCTCAGTCTTTGGACCCTTCCCTTCTCTTTCTATCCTACGTCCCCAGAGGTCACATCCAGCCCCACAGCTTTAAACACCACGTATAAATTAAGGATGCCCAAATGTACACCTCCAGTCCGGACTTCTCCCTGGAATCCAGACGCACCCAATTACTTCAAAATTAACACATCACAGGCGAAATTGTTGACACAGGCTCGCCGCCATACCTGCTCCTCCTACCAGACTCTTTTCTCGTGAAGCCGAGGTTCTGTTGTCAGATGCTCATACCGCAACTCTCGGAGGCATCCTTGCCTCCTCCTCCTCTCATATGCCCCGTCCACTCCATCAGGGCCTCCTGTCAGCAACACCTCCAAGCTGTTACTGATACAAGTTCCCACTACCTGTCGCCATGACCATGACAATGGTGACGACTCCTGTTACCACTCAAGTCCACGCTGCCATCAGCCCTTGCCTGCACCGTGAAAGGGTCCTAACCAGGCTCTGTGCTGCCCCTCAGCTCCCACCCTCAATGTCACGGTCTTTTCTCCACACAGAGCCAGAGGAAGCCTTTTCAATATAAATCGGGCCACAGCACTGTTCTCCAAAAACCTTGGAAGTGCTTATCTTCCTCAGAATAAACTTCAGCATCCTTCCCCAGGCCTTCGAGTCCCCACATGACACAGGTCCCCAGTGCCCACAGATCCCGTGCCCGGGCACACGCTGCCTCGCCCGCCCTGCTGTGGACTCACTGCCCTCTCCGCTGTTTCTCGAGCACGGCGCCTGCCCAGAGCCTCTCCCACGTCCTCCCTGCTGGACACGCACCAGGCCTGGCCTGCGCCACCTTCAGCTTGTGCTCCAGCGGCTCCGTTGCTGACATCCTATGTTAGCCAGCCTCCCCACTGTGATCCAGCCCCCCCTGCCTGCTTCATGCCTTTTTGCGTGGACTTCAGTCTCTCTCTGCTGAAATATAAACGTCGTAAGAGCCAGGATTTATTTATTTTGTTCACAGCTTAGCCCTTAGCACTGGGCCTGGCAAACAGTAGGTGCCCAATACATTTTTACCGAGTGAATAAATGAGTATCGTTACATAGTCAAAAAATAGTTCTATGACTTTACGTATGGTGGGAAAAAAAGCCATGGCGATGTTCCAAAGGAATTTAAGAACTCTACTAAATGGCATTCTTTTAAGACAATAAGCCACACTGAGCGCTTGCAGGGCCGAGGAGAGGCAGACTCACTTCCTGATCACCGCCTTCGACTCCGATGAACTGTGGCCTCCATCGTCTTCACAGCTTGGGCTCGTCAGGTTTCCGTACCTTCACGGAGAAAAGCAAGTGAACAAAAACATCAGTCGACGGTGTTGGAAAGCAACTCTATTCATTCCAATCACGAGATAACAGCTACCTACACTTTTCAGGAATAATTAAGGAAAGTAACATTTATAAAATAGCATCAAAAAATGGTACTGCACACATGCACTGGTCACTGTTTCCAAGAATGTTTAGAGCTTTAGCTTTTGAAACTTACATAGTTAGCAAAGGAATGTAAATTTAAAAATATATCTGCAGTGAAGAAAAAAAAAAGATCTATCAAGCCATGAAAAACACAGAAGAAACTTAAAAGACACATTACTAAATGAAAGAAGCCAGTCTGAAAAGGCTACAAACTGTACGATTCCAACCAAATGCCGTTCTGGAAAAGGTACAGCTACAGAAACAATAAAAAGATCGTGGTTTCCAGGGGTTTGGGGAGAGAGAGGGAGAGAGGAATAGGTGGAGCAAAGGGATTTTTAGGGCAATGGAATTACTCTGTGTGACACTACAGTGGTGGCTACATGTCATTATGCGTTTGTCAAAACCCACAGAATGTACAACACCAAGAGTGAACCCTAATGTGAGCTGTGGACTTTGGTTGATAATAATGTGTCCATGTTGGTTCATCGATTGCACCAAATACGCCACACTGATGAGGGATGCTGAGGGTAGAGGAGTGTACATGTGTGGGTGGGAAGGGCTATGTGAGAACTCTGTATTTTCTGCTCAATTCTGCTGTGAACCTGAAACTGCTCTAAAAACTAAAGTCTAAAAATAAATAATAAATAAATAAATAAGATCCTGCATTGGTGATATCTGTTTGATAGGTAAATACGTGTGTGTGTGCGTGTGTGTGTGTGTGTATACGCATATGTTCTAAATAGAAAAGTGATTTAACAATGAATCACACTACTTAAAGCTTTCCCTTAATATTTAACATTTTTTTCTTTAGATTTTTAGGTGAAATTTGGCTGCTCCCCTCAGCAGGAGAATCCGGTCTTCGGGGACTCCCAGGCGGCAGGCTCCTCACGATCTCTGCGGCACGCAGCCCACACTCCCGCCCTCCGCGTATCTACCGAAGGGAGACGTGGCTCTGTTTGCACAGTTTCTCACCTGAGCCGCACGTGAGCGCACGATGACCACCCCACGCTCTGCCTGTGGGTCTGGTCTCCTTGAGGATAAGCGCTGCTGGAGAAGGGCTACGGACGTAACTCCGCACCCTCAAGGAGAGGCTGAGATGGACACAAGGACTGAAGAGCAGAACACTTACATCTCGGCCACCAAGAGAGCAGCCGTGGACACACCGGGGCCAGGCTGAGCTGGCGTCCCCAGCCTCGGGGTGGGGAGGGGACACAGGGCCACAATGTTTTAAAAAGTGATAGGTGCTTAAATTCTAAAATCGGTCTCATTACAAAAGCACAACTTAACTAAATAACCTCGTCACACTCCTCCAACTCCATAGGCAAACAAGCCCATTGCAAACAAATACATCACGTTTTGCTTGGCTCAGAACATACATTTAGCAAATTCACTGAAATTCTTAAGGAGGAACCTTTATACTAACTTGTAATGCCTAGACTGTTTCTGCAGTTTCTCTTCCCATCAGTGAAGAATTGAGAGATTCCTTGGAGTTTCACAAACTGGTAATCTGTCCCCAAGTTTTGATAATAGAAATTCTCTAATTGGTGGGGCTTACATTTTTAAAGAGCACACTTTTGTCTTCTACTCATGGGTTTAAGGGCCCCAGTACCCCTGTGGTTCCTTGTTCCCAGGATTTACTAGTCCTTTTAAAAATGAAAGCCCGCCACCCGGTTTGACCGAATGCCAGTCCCTCTGGCTCCCCATCACCCGATTCCAGCAGGTTCTAGTTTGCGCCCTTAGGCACTAGGCGCCCCACCCCCGCCCCACCCCATCCACCTGCTCCCTTCTCGAGCTCATCAGCCTTATGGACTTCTTGGCCTCCCAAAGAGATTTTCCACTGGCCTCTGCCCTCCCTGTGCCTCTTCATTCTGTCCTGCACCTGCTGCTTAGAGGCCTCCTGGGGCTACCCTTTGTTTTCCCAGAGATAAGAACTCAGACTGAGATGTACGCAGCCCCCGGCGGGCAAGGCGGGGCTGGGAAGTGGGATTCCCAGTAAATAAACAGAGTGGGATTTCTTGGCTCTCTCTTTGGCCACCATCATAGCACGCCGTGTCCTCATGTTCCCTTGAAACAGACTCGGCGGTTTATCCCAGTAGGAGAGATGAGGTGGGTGCGGTGAAGAGTGGGGCCGCTGTGCCTGCCATGCTCCTGACTGGGGCGACCCCTGACCTCCTCCTGCCAGCCCCAGTGACTAAATGTGGGTGCAATCTTCCTTCTGTCCCAGTCTGTGTTCGTTCATTGACTCTCCTTCTGGTCATCCTGGAAATACTGCATCTTTTATCTCCCAGCTGGAAGCTCAAGAGGTAGAAATAAAAGGGAAACATTTACAAGGGAAAGACACACATTTTACTGCTCCTGATAGCTTTCTTTCCGGAGACGAGTGTACTAAAAAATTCCCTGATCTTCCTCCCCTTTGGCTTTACTTCAGCTTCTCATACTCTGCTACTCTTTCTCTACATTATTTTCAGGCTCAGGGCCTAGATGCTGGCTGGGATGCCACAAACACCCATCACGGTTCTGCTCCCAGAATGTGATGCCACAGAGGGGTGTGGTCAGACGGTGTCCAGGAGGACCAAGCCACTTACACTGGTGAGTGAGCAAGGTTCCTTCTCGTTCATTAACCTGGTACCATCTGCTCAAAGACCACACAGACACTTCTCCCCGCCAGCAGAGTGACCAGAGGCTCACAATCAGGACGAGCACGATCAGCTGGTAATAACTTGGAGACCAGAGAGAACCATCAACAGTAAGGCATGCGAAACATGGAACCTGCCTAAGTGTCCATCAACAGATGGCTGGATATACAGTGGAATACTACTCAGCCATAAAAAGAATAAAGTAATGCCATTTGTGGCAACATGAATGGACCTGGAGACTGTCATTCTAAGTGAAGAAGGCCAGAAAGAGAAAGAAAAATACCATATGAGATCTGACACGAAGGTGTGGAATCTCAAAACAAAACAAAAAGACACAAATGAACTTATTTGCAAAACCGAAACAGACTCACAGACACAGAAAACAACCTCATGGTTACCAGTGGGGAAAGAGGGTGGGAAGGGATAAATTTCGAGATTTGCAGATACTAACTACTATATACCAAATAGATAAACAACAAGTTCCTACTGTAGAGCACAGGGAGCTATATTCAATATCTTGTAGTGACCTATAATGAAAAGGAATATATGTATGTATATGCATGACTGAAGCACTATGCTGTACACCAGAAACTGACACAACATTGTAAACTGACTGTACTTCAATTAAAAAAAAAAATAAGGCATGTGTGTGTCAGCGCACATGGCCCAGGTACTCAGGCTCAAAGACGGCAGTCATCCCTGACACTCCTCTGCCCGGTCCACCAGCACGTCCTTCTGGCTCTCCCCTTACAACATATGCTGAATCCTGACACCACTCACCACTTCCACCCCAGCAATGCAACAGCCATTAACTCCTCTCCTGGCTCCCGCCCCACAGCCACAGTGATCCTGTTCATGCTGCTGCTCGGCTCAGGGCCCTCCCCTGGCTCCCACTGCTCTTTACCCGGAGAAAAGGCCGAAGTCTTAGCCGTCTCACGAGGCCCCAAGTGACCTGCCCCTGATATTCCTGGCCACGACTCCCACACTCACAGTCTCCCTCGGCCTCACTGGCCTCCTTCCTGCTCCCCCCACACACCAGGCATCCTCCTGCCTCTGAATCTCTGCACTCGCTCCGCCTCGTCCGTAGCACCGATGGCACACGCCCTCGGCTCCTGCAGGTCTTTGCTCCAATGTCACCTTAGCAGTGAGGCCTCCCCTGACCACCCTATGCAAAACCACACTAACACCGCTGCTCTGTTTTCCTCCACAGCCTTTAACACCTTCCAGCATACTGTGTAATCAACACAGTTACTGTGTTCATTGTCCATCAGAACATAAACTCCACGAGAGCAGGGCTTTTCTCTCTTGAGAGCTTGAAACAGTGCCTGGCACCCAATAGGCTGAGAACAAATGAGTGCTCCAGCGGGGTTCCCAATGGCAGGTTCATTTTTGTCTCTGCAAACACACCATCTGGCTTTTTGCTTATATAAGTGTCTTAACCCACCTGTGCCTTCATGTCTAACATTCTAGGAGGATAAGAAAACTTGAGGACAGCTGCGATCACTGAAAAAATCTAAAATTAAAATGCAAAAGAGGAGGGAGGGTGGAGCTCAGTGGTAGAGTGTGTGCTTAGCATACACAAGGTCCTGGGTTCCATCCCCAGTACCTCCATTAAAAATAAATAAATAAATAAGTAAAACCTAATTACCTTCTCCCAAATAAATAAAATAAAATGCAAAAGAAATAGTTTTAAGATCTCAAAGCGGAGATCTTGAAGGTGTAAGCAGTACGAAAATGCAAAAAAAAAATGTATACACAGCTTTACAAAGGAGATGTTTAGAAGCAAGGTAAAATTAAAAAGCCTGTAACCCTCTGGAATTTAACAGACGAGCGAGGGGACAATTATTTGCCCCCGTGCTTTTCGTATCATTAAGGAGAATTAAAGCCTTACAGAAAAGAGAGTAGACCAGCGTTGGAATCAAGAACTCTTTAATGTTCAAGCTAGGTCATTTGAGAGTTAGTTCAACCAGATTAAGAGTGTTTCTTTGATGTTTCCTGGCCCCGCTCATAGCTTCCCATCAAAAACCCAAAGTCAAGTTCAATTCATTTACTCCAGGGGAGTAAATAAAGAGTGTGTATGTATGTGTTTAATTAATGAATAGCTACAGACAAACCTGTCAACAGTGTCACCTCCAATTTCTGCAAAGCCTCCCTAGGATTTAAGATCAAAGTCTCCACCTCTTAAGAAGGCTTACCAGTGAGAAACTGCCCTTCTTCAAATGGTAA